GCAAAGAGATGGAGAAGCTTGTCCCAAGCCTCCTTGGATGTCTTGGCAGAGGCGATAAGGGAGATGACCTGTGGTGAGACGGAAGCAAGAATCGCATGGAGGAGGAGTTGATCTTGCCGAATCCAAAAGGTGCGAAGCACGGTTTGAGTGGTTGATGGGCAGAGACTAGAACCGTCCACATAACCCATGAGGTCGTAGCCGTAAAGGAGGGCGTTGAATTGAGCACGCCATGATGGGTAATTGGTGGGTGTGAGTTTTACGGGTAGTTGGGCTGTAGCGTTGATTGTGATCAAGGTGGGAGTGGAGGAGTTGATCTCTGGTACAGGGATGGTTGCAGAGGCGTCAGTGGCCATGGATGAAGACAGAGAAGAGAGGAATCAGGAAAAAAAATTTGCTCGTTGGAGTTTTTGGGCTGTGATACCATATAAGGGCTGAGATCAATTGGTATATTTCAAATAATAATGTTTACAGGTACAGGTCTATGATTATATACAGTTTGAATACAATCCTAATAAGGTAAATACAATCAGACTTGAGTGACTGAATCAATCCTAATCAAATAGAATAGGAAAGACAGCTTAGCATATATATCACACTTGACTTTCATACGGAGGAGCCGATTGTGTTGTTGATGGAGCAGATTGAGTTGTTGATGAACTGATCTCCTTTGATATAGGAGATTCCCTAATACTTACAACCTTTTTCGAAAGTTTCGTGTAACCTTCAATGGGATGGTCCTGTCCAAAAGCATGCCAACTAAAGAGCTCCAATGATTCATCATGATTAAAAGTTTCAACGTTATGCACCTTAACAACCTCATTAGCCTTGAACAACCCTGCACATCTAATTGTTATAATGATTTTACTCCCATGATAAAAACAATCTCGCATTCTAAGTATTGCATCAAATTGGCTCAAATGATCTACATCGTTGAGAACAAGAACCTTCTTACAACTTATGACATCTTTAATCTTAAGTATTCCCTCACTGACACTTCGTACTGTCACTTCTCTCCCATTCAAAATATTAGAGAGAAGTTGTATTTGCATTTGAACCAAGCCGTTGCGCCCTTCAGAAATTTCTCTGATGTTTTCAAGGTAACTGCTTCCTTTAAATCTTTTAAAGTATGAATTATAAACAACTTGTGCAATGGTGGTCTTCCCTATTCCACCAATCCCATAAACCACCAATATTCCAAGTTCCAACATCCGATGATCCGTCCTGTAACCATAAATTAATTTCTTTTACTCGATGATCCATTCCAATCAGGTAAGGAGTAACACTTAAGGAGTTGCGTCTTAGCTTGCCTTCAATCACTTTAACAATTTTGTTGATAAACTTTGACTCGTGCCTAGAAAATTTGCAATGAAAGTGGAAATAAATAAAATCAACCTGCCATATGCCATGATTTCAATAATATTAACGATGACATTATAACTAGAAATAAATCCTATAGTTAATCAAGAGTGGTAATGGAATTTACCCATCAGCTTCGTTTTGTAAGACCATGCCTGCTAGATCAGCAGCTTCTGTAAGTGCTGCCTTCCATACATTTACCTTGTCTTGTTCAAAGATCGATTTTTTTGGTGTCCAGCAAATGCTTTTGCTAAACTTCCTGTCTGCTTCCTCACCTCAGATGGATCAACGTCATAGAAGACTGGTAAAACTACATGGCCTGAGATCCTCTTGCGTTCAAGGATCAACACAAGCTCGTCAAGGCACCATTTGGATGACGCGTAGTCTTTCGAAAACACAATGACAGAACTTCGTGACTCTTGGATTGCTTTCTGCAGTCCTGGCTTGATATCTTCTCCTCTCTCAAGTTCATCGTCGTCTCGGAAAGTTTGAATCCCTGAGTTGACGAAGGCAGTATAGAGGTGGTCGGTAAAAGTTTTGCGAGTGTCTTCACCTCTAAAACTCAAGAACACTTCGTAACGACAAGGAAAATTCCCGGAAGAGGAGGCATCTTGAGCTCTAACAAGAGCCATTGATGAAAACAAGCTTCCCTCAGGCCTGGGAATATCTCAAAAAATGCATTCACGACTTTCTGGTTTCTCAAATGAGTGTGAAAATTAAGGCTTTTGGGTTCATATACTTCACAGATGATAAGGTGAAGAAAATAAAGATATTATCTTCCCGTCGACTAAGAACAATTAAATGCAAGTAGTATATAGATGCGTGGGCACCTTCTATAGTGCACCAGGTGCACCCATGCACCATTTGTCCTTTATGATGCTCCCAGATTTTTTTAAACATTGGTTACCGGTTATACAAGTTATCAAGTTTCCACTTTTTGAAAATGCAATTGCATAAGGGTCATGCAATTATGCCCTTCCTGTTTGGCAATTGGCATATGATTGGATAGTGATTTACAGTAGTTTGGATATGAGAATACCATAACATTGTAAAAGGATCCTAAAACTTATAAGTTACAAGATTTGGGTAGCGGTTTACAAATTTTTGAACCATGATTACAACATTAGGGTTCACCTAATCCATAATGTTGTAAATACTCATTTACAAGGATATGGATCCACATTACAAGGAATTGGTAACTCCGGACCATGATGATATAAATTGGGTCCTTATTCTAGTAAAATGAGGGTTTACAACATTAAGGGCTGATTTTACAATTTTGGGATACGAGAGTACCAAAACATTGTAAAAAGAATCCCTAAACTCGTAAATTATAAGTTTTTGGTAACAATTTACAAGGTTTTGTTCATGGATTACAACGTTATGGTTCACCAAATTCATAATGTTGTAAATCATATATTTACAAAAATATAGATCCATATTACAAAGGATTGGTAATAGTGGACATTAGGGATGTAAATTGGGTCCTTATTCTAGTAAACAATGGTTAAGGATGGATTTTACAATCTTAAGGAACATAAATGTCCAAAATAGAGTAATACGAGACCTTAATATTGTAAATATTTGTGTTTACAAGTATAATGACCTAATTTACTTTCCTAAGGTCCCTAGTTACCTTAATATTGTACTAGATGTCTTTATCCTTGTAAATTACGATATTACAAGATTACGGATGAGTTTTACAATCTTCAGGAACATAACTATCCATAAAAGAGTAATACAAGACCTTAGTATTGTAAACATCCGAGTTTACAAGTATAAGGACCCAATTTACCATCCGAATGTTCCCATTTACCCTAATAACGTGCTTCTCTTTGTAAATTACGATATTACAGGATTAAGGATGTATTTTACAATCATATGGAACATAACTGTCCAAAACCAAGTAAAACAAGACCTTAATATAGTAAACGTTTGTGTTTACACATATAAGGACTTAATTTACTTTCCTAATGTCCCTAGTTACCTTAATATTGTACTAGATGTCTTTCTCTTTGTAAATTACGATATTACAAGATTAAGGATGGGTTTTACAATGTTCTGGAACATAACTATCTATTAAAAGAGTAATACAAGACCTTAGTATTGTAAACATCTGAGTTTACAAGTATAAGGACCCAATTTACCATCTGAATGTTCCCATTTACCCTAATATTGTACTACATGTCTTTATCTTTGTAAATTTCGATATTACAAGATTAATGATGCATTTTACAATCACATGGAACATAACTGTCCAAAATCGAGTAAAACAAGACCTTAATATAGTAAACGTTTGTGTTTACATGTATAAGGACTCAATTTACTTTCCTAATGTCGCTAGTTACCTTAATATTGTACTAGACGTCCTTCTCTTTGTAAATTACGATATTACAAGATTAAGGATGAGTTTTACAATCTTCTGGAACATAACTATCCAAAATAGAGTAATACTAGACCTTAATATTGTAAACATCCATGTTTACAATACTAAGGACCCAATTTACCTTCCGAATGTTCCCTTTGACCCTAATATTGTATTACATGTCTTTATCTTTGTAAATTACGATATTACAAGATTAACGATGCATTTTACAATCATATGGAACATAACTGTCCAAAACCGAGTAAAACAAGACCTTAATATAGTAAACGTTTGTGTTTACACATATAAGGACTTAATTTACTTTCCTAATGTCCCTAGTTACCTTAATATTGTACTAGATGTCCTTCTCTTTGTAAATTACAATATTACAAGATTAAGGATGGGTTTTACAATCTCTTGGAACATAACTATCCAAAATAGAGTAATACGAGACCTTAATATTGTAAACATCCATGTTTACAATACTAAGGACCCAATTTACCTTCCGAATGCTCCCCTTGACCCTAATATTGTATTACATGTCTTTATCTTTGTAAATTACGATATTACAAGATTAAGGATGCATTTTACAATCAAATGGAACATAACTGTCCAAAACCGAGTAAAACAAGACCTTAATATAGTAAAAGTTTGTGTTTACACGTATAAGGACTCAATTTACTTTCATAATGGCCCTAGTTACCTTAATATTGTACTAGACGTCCTTCTCTTTGTAAATTACGATATTACAAGATTAAGGATGAGTTTTACAATCTTCTGGAACATAACTATCCAAAATAGAGTAATACTAGACCTTAATATTGTAAACATCCATGTTTACAATACTAAGGACCCAATTTACCTTCCGAATGTTCCCCTTGACCCTAATATTGTACTACATGTCTTTATCTTTGTAAATTACAATATCACAAGATTAAGGATGCATTTTACAATCAAATGGAACATAACTGTCCAAAACCGAGTAAAACAAGACCTTAATATAGTAAAAGTTTGTGTTTACACGTATAAATAAGTTTTTGGTAACAATTTACAGGGTTTTCCTCATGGATTACAACGTTAGGGTTCACCAAATCCATAATGTTGTAAATCATATATTTACAAAAATATAGATCCATATTACAAATGATTGGTAATAGTGGACATTAGGGATGTAAATTGGATCCTTATTCTAGTAACAATGGTTAAGGATGGATTTTACAATCTTATGGAACATAAATGTCTAAAATAGAGTAATACGAGACCTTATTATTGTAAATATTTGTGTTTACAAGTATAATGACCTAATTTACTTTCCTAAGGTCCCTAGTTACCTTAATATTGTACTAGATGTCTTTATCCTTGTAAATTACGATATTACAAGATTACGGATGAGTTTTACAATCTTCAGGAACATAACTATCCATAAAAGAGTAATACAAAACCTTAGTATTGTAAACACTGATGTTTACAATACTAAGGACCCAATTTACCTTCCGAATGTTCCCATTTACCCTAATATTGTACTACATGTCTTTATTTTTGTAAATTACGATATTACAAGATTAAGGATGCATTTTACAATCATATGGAACATAACTGTCCAAAACCGAGTAAAACAAGACCTTAATATAGTAAACGTTTGTGTTTACACAGATAAGGACTCAATTTACTTTCCTAATGTCCATAGTAACCTTAATATTGTACTAGACGTCCTTCTCTTTGTAAATTACGATATTACAAGATTAAAGATGAGTTTTACAATCTCCTGGAACATAACTATCCAAAATAGAGTAATACGAGACCTTAATATTGTAAACATTCATGTTTACAATACTAAGGACCCAATTTACCTTCCGAATGTTCCCATTTACCCTAATATTGTACTACATGTCTTTATCTTTGTAAATTACGATATTACAAGATTAAGGATGCATTTTACAATCAAATGGAACATAACTATCCAAAACCGAGTAAAACAAGACCTTAATATAGTAAAAGTTTGTGTTTACACATATAAGGACTCAATTTACTTTCCTAATGTCCATAGTTACCTTAATATTGTATTAGACGTCCTTCTCTTTGTAAATTACGATATTACAAGATTAAAGATGAGTTTTACAATCTCCTGGAACATAACTACTCCAATTACCTACACACTGTTTGTCAAATGCATTATGCTTGTTCAATTTCCAACTCACTGTTTGTCAATTGAGTTATTTCCTTTTCCTACTAGGTGAGCCAATCTATCAGTGCCCTTTCCATCTTATATGGTCACTTCCTTTCAAATTAACTCATTCAATCCATTCACATACAACAATAGACGATTATATTTGACATCATTATAGAATAAGTTTGTAGCATCAAACAAGTTACATAAGTTCAAATCTACCATAAAATATATAATCTCACTTATGAACGTATACCACAAAGACAAAATACTCATAATACAATTTATGTTTTATTCCTTAGCCTTAGCCTCTTACTAATAGGGCGTGGTTCTAGTTCCAGCAAAGAGGTCTTGCGTTTTTGTGGTGATGCTTTGCCTTTCCCTTTAATTGCAACTGCTTTTTCTTTGGAATGCACCGCCCCTCCTTTAAATTTTGTTTTCACCACAGCTCATTTTCCCTTTGTGTTAGGGGGTGGTGACTTGGTCCTTATTCTAGTAAAATTGGGGTCCTTCTCCAAAGTCTACCTTTACCTTATCCAAAAATTTGTAGTTTATGAATGCACTTTATAAGTTTATGGAACTTTGACGTCCAAGTAATTGTAAAAAGGGTCTTTTATATTGTAAACCGTTGTGTTTACAAGAATAAGGACCACATTTACTTCTCCAATGTCCATCCTTACCTCAAAGAAACAAAAGTGTTAGTTCATAGAACACAAACTAATGCTTTGGTTTGTTTAGAAACAAACAAGAGCTTTTGTTTGATTTTTTTTTTTGAAGTGTCAAAATTATATTTTTCTATGCATACACTAATCTCAAAATACAACTTTATGGTACAATGCCCATTCACAATGCTAATGGGACGATTGTTTCAATTGGCACATAAACTATGATATAACAGTCAAATTTACTTTAAAAGCTTATTCTCAATGGTACTATATCCTCATCAAAGCCAACATAAACTTCATTCATGTAATTGAAAGTATTGTTCAATACATTCACTTTACATAACCAATAATTATAAATCTAAAATCTCAAGTCATTATGTATATAATAAAAAAAATACAATCTCCAGATACAATGAAAATATTACAAATTCAAGT